CCCCATCTTCCTTCCAAGGAGTGGCTGGTGGATTTGAACCGCCAGCCTTCTGGTTAGCAGTCAAGTGCCTTAGGCACTATGCTATCAGAGCTCCCTTGCCACCTGTATGCTCTATTATATTCACAGATATATTTACAGTACATGAAATTACATTTGTAGAAATATGCTCTGTCAAACCTATATATATATTCATAGGTATAGTCCCATTCACCTTTCCACCCCTGTTCAGTGTGAGTATCTGTCTATGAGTCCACTCGTAGATTACTGTTACTGTTATTGCAAGATTGTGTATGTAATAGTATTTACTTTTGTTGGCTTTAATTCTTATGCTTCTCCCAGTGTCCTCCTCTGCCTTTATCTTTTTGTGCTGACTTCCCCCTTATTATATGCTGCTGTGGTAGTTAAGTTTGTGTGTCAACTTGGCTGGGCCTGGTTGAGTGGCTGGACAGCTGGATGTAGTTATTCCCCATGGTGAGATTGGTAATTAACTACATGGTGGAATCTATTGGAGCAGCTGAGTGTGCTTTAGGGATGTGGTCTGCTTCAAGTAAATAAGAAGCAACTTTGTGGAAGGTCTCCAGCTTTTTGGCATGCTTGAACCCTACATGTAGTCATGTTGTTGTTCAGCAGCCTGCCATACCCTGCCTATCTTGAGACTTCTCCTGGACTTGAATTAATGGTCTGCTTTGTTGTTTGGTAACATTGGGACTGTGCCTTTTTATCTGTCGACCTTGGGTTTGTCAGCATCAGCAGCCAGCATCTGAGGGAAGAAAAGCCTCCAGCTTCAGTGGGCTGGGAGCAGGAGGCAGAACTGAAGCCCAAGGTTGAGGGGCTTTCACCCATCCCCTAGAGCCTGGCACTTTGAACTCACACTTAAAGCCTCCAAGCTTCAAGAGAATAAACTCCTGTTTGTTAAAGCCATCCCACTTCTGGTATTTTCTGTTAGAGGGGCAGAGGTAACCAAAACAGTTGCCTTTGACTTCCCCTAAGTTAACACATGCCTATCCTCTGGAGAGTAATTTACCCTTACTTTCCCTCAATTTTTTGCATTTATAAATTATAAAAGTTCAAAGAATAATTCTATGTCGAAACTTTTTCTTGACTTTTTACAGTAGTGGTCTCATACAGTATTATCCTTTTGTGATTGACTAATTTCACTAAGCATAATATGCCCTAGGGTCATCTATGTTATGAGATCTTTCTCAGATTTTTTGTTGTTCTTTAAGGTTGTGTGGCATTCCATTGTATATGTGTACCACAGTTTATCCATTCATCCGTTGATGGGCAATTTTTGCTTTTGTAAATTATGCTGCAGGGAACTTGAATAGGCATTTATCTGTGCATGTCATGACTCATTTCTCTAGGAAATATATCTAGTAGTAGAAATTCTTCATCTTATGGTATTGCCATTTCCAGCTTCTTAAGCAACTGCCATACCACTTTCCACAGTGGTTGTACCATTTTACAGTCCCACTAGAATTGTAGAATGTTCCACTCTCTACACTATCTCACTAGCATTTGTTGTTTTCTGCTTAAAAAAAAAAGCATTGCTAGTAATTATGAAACTTGCACTTAAAAGTGAATGGAAGAGGAGTTCCAGCAAGATGGCGGACTAGGCAGAAGGACTGCATAGACCCTCTTCAACAAAGAAAAGGGAAACCAATTAACACAGACACAGAAGATAATCTTGGACCCCTCAGCCTTGAAGGGAAGGATACAAAAGTGGACT